CAAGAAAGAGATCATCAGAAAGTATAGATTATGATCATGGCAATTCAGCCAGGTGATCACAGATATTAACCATGTGATGCGTGTCGAAGCATCGAGAGAAATATGGAGTGAATACACAGATTGCATACCGTGCCGCTGCTTTCTGTTTCCCGGATCGAAGGTAATTTTCACAGTAAGAAATCTGCGGATTTAAATAATCCAGATTGTATTTGAACAGAGGAAACAGATACTCCTACCTCAGACACTAGTAAATTTAATTTCCTGTCGATGCCTTGGATCAGAGGTAAAATCTTTGAGGTGGATTTGGCGGTTCGTGTCCGTCTTTGGACAATCATGAAGTTGACGCATATATTTTGGGTGCACAGTGTGTGTATATACGGAGCATGCGTCCTACTGTTATAATGATTAACTTTGATGACCCTTAAAGCTACCTCGATTTGCGTCCCCACCCCCGCCTTTTCCACTCCTACAGAGGGGTTTTCGGTTGATTCCAGGACACGCCGTTCCAGGGTGAATTCGGTCCGCGGAGCCAGAGTGATACGATGGGTGCAGAGCCACCACTGCCATGAAGTTGCTGGGTGCCTTTGATTATGCCGCGCTCCTTGTCCGGACCGCCTTTCACACAAGGAGACTACGTTCACCAGCAACGGAGCTGTCAGCGCGAGATGGTTGCAGTACGCGAGTTTGGGACAACCACTGGACGAAGAGGGCAGATATCAAGAATTTTGAGTGAGCCATGACGATGGCGAGAAGCGTATGGTGTGGGAAAGAGAGCTTTTTGGGGATCGTTTAAATAACTGTCATGCGCGTCTGCGCAGCCATCTGTGGTGAGGACATCTTCCGCCTCGTACGTAGGTCGCCCTCCTTTTTGCCTGGAGTCCCAAGTCACTCGTTTGTCACTAATTCTGTGGGTTCTACTAGTAGTGGTCGAAACGGTTATGACACCGATATATGATGCTATCAACGAGGCATCAGGAGGATGTGGAGGAAATACGAAGATGGCACATCTCACTGGTCAAGTAGACTCCAGCGCCAAGTTCGGCTTCGATCCGTCTGATCCTGCACTGTGAAGACGTCGCCCATGAGCGCTAACTTGGACTGAGCGTATACAGAAGTCCATGAATATCGATGAGAGAGCATGGAAGTCTAACCCTGCTACAAGCTAAGACGCCGCTCCACCCTATCCACAAGCTGGTCCACCGGCAACGGTTTATGAATTGTCTCTCCTACTCGCATCACGCTTCTCATCCACCGACGCGTCGACCAGGCTTTCCTGAGTCCTCCTTGCTAAGAGATCCTCAGACAAGAGTCCAAAAGTCGAGTAATACGAGAATATGGAGATAACCTGGAATGCCCAGTGCGGAAGGTCAGACTGTCTGAGCCGGAATATGAGCGGGTTATGGTGGGAGCCGTAAGTGACATGGATTCCTCAACAACGGAGGGAGCGAGACTAGGAGATATCGCGTCAGGTATTGTATTCAATTATACAGTGCGGCACGTACTCAATGGTACCATGCGATTAAACTCTTTGCGACGATGCGAGGAGTATGAGATTACCCAACGAGTAATAGCCTCAACCTCAATGCGAAAGGCGTAACGACTGGGACTTGAACATCGGCCAGAAAACGCGGTTAGGTTGTCCGTCGCTCTGCTAGCTGGAGCAAGGAGTAGGCATTCCCGATTAAGAGATGAACGTTAACCGTGAACGAGATGATGACTTTGGTGAGAGGTTGCTGGAAGGATACGCCACTAGGACCGAGCCAACGGAGGGAGGAGGCTAGGACAAGTCTAGTGATACAGAGATTCGCACGTAGCTACTGGTCGAGAAAACCCGACTACGGTGATCAGAGAGTGATTCTGGTGATTTTGATGAGAGATCCGGGGTTAACTCCGACGAGGAATAGTCCAACCTTCAACATCGCTGCAAAACACACTTGCGTTGTCCCGTATTCCCACGAAGCAACGGTCTCCGTGACCCTGAACATTGTTTCACGAAGGCGAAGACTTATTCGCGAGCAGAAGGAGGTCAGGAATGAGAGAAAGGATCACGTCATGGAAGGGAGTTAAGACGCGTTATTTGTTCAAGTTCCTATTTTAGGTTCACGTGGGTAAATGATGCCGGTCGTTGCCGCGCTTGTTCGCCGGACCGTGCCGTACTGCCTTTCACTCAAGCTTAAGGGCAAGGGGTTACCGGTCCGTCAAGCCGGTCCACCCGGTCGGTCGGTCGGTCGCCTTCGAGAGGCCTTAAAAAAATTCTATATCAATTTTTTTCTGCACTAATCAGCTCAAAAGTGCCATGAGGAAGCAATAATTGATGAAGAATAAAGATCTCACTGAGGATGTTGGCTGTGTGATTCTGTTAAGCATCTTCTCAGTGATAGAGATGATGAAGGAATAGTCCTGCCAGCTTGCTGATGAGGCGGATTTGGGGATTCCGGCAACGTCTAGACGGGAGAGATCGGTTACTACCGGTAACTGCTTCTAACCGGGTGGCAGTGTGCTTACCAATACCGCATGTTATGCCTTCATTAGGTATGTTATTTCCACGGAGGTCGGTCGGTCGGATCGACCAGGCCTTAAAAAAAATATCGAGTGGATGTAATTATTTGACATCCTCGTAACCCCTTGCTTAAGGACGAAACCAAGACGAAACGATTGACCGTCTGAGGCGAACATTTCACCGGACATTTACATTCACTAGCGCTGAATGGGGTTTTGGCATTCACTGAGACCTGTATTTGATGACGATCAAGAGTTTTAGATGGACGGACAGAACCAGGCTTATAGGTTGTAGGAGGTCGAACGTCTTTTATAATCATCAATAATGATAACTGCGGCCGCCACTGACAAGCCCGTTTTCCATTTTGCTACGCTCCAGATACCTAAGATGACCGACCGACTTGGAAACTCCGATACTATAGTGTGCTGACTACACGCCTAGTCTCTGGAAGACTATTCTACAGGCAATTTTAGACAATTATATCCGCCGGCTCCATTTCTTAGAACGGTTCGATCATAGAGCTATGAGTAACGTTGGGGAGGCCCTCAGACCGGCTGTCGGAAGATCATCCTTGAATAATAAGAAGTCACTTCCTCGTGGAGAGAACAGTAAGTCGTCAGCAAGTAGTGATATGCGGAAGAAGAAGATTAACATCTAGGCTACCGAAATTAATTCATTCGCGACTTTGGTAAAGCAAACCCGATTAGACACTAGCAACATGAAACGAAAGAAATTCCTACCAGTTTGACACAAAATCCTATCGAAACAAATACGCTCCTCCTCTGTCAGGATAGAAGCCAAGTGGGGTTCGTCCGTGTTGACAAGAAGCTGCTTTGTTCCAAGACGAGGATGAACTTCATGAGCAAAGAGATGCAACGCGCATTGATTCCGCTACACTTCGGATTACACACCTTAGACAGTACAAGACGAGACGTTCAGTATCCGGACGACTATTCCGATAGCCAGTTCAGGCGGGGGTAGCGTAATGGAATGGCCGTCTCACATGTTGCTAACACAGTAAGGAACGTTGGGTAGGCCAATAATTCCTTTAGGAAGTGATAAATAATGTCCATCATTCAGCACCAGAGAGTAGCCTTGTGTTACAATGAGTCGTGTAGGCCTTCTGTAACCGCTTCATGGAAGCTGAAGACAAGGTTTACCAGATAGAAGGTATTCAATAATGGCTTAACATGAAGATAAGCTAAAGACTGCATATGACGAGACGGATCCACACCGTATCCCACACTTGTCGGTGAAAATCTTGCTTCCGTCATTTTTGCGAAGCTTGTCGTCCGCAAGATTGTATTAACGGGACGTGAACTAAGACAATCATAAAATAAGAAAGTACATTAGAGACGGTCCGCAGCTAGATCAAAGTTTCCGTGATATCGAGTTTATTATTTAAGGTTCGTTGGGTTGGGAAAGAGAGTTCCAGGGCATGAACGCCCTCTTCAGTAACGGTAGGCCAGTTGATGGGTACGGACAACCAGAACAGTTTGACGTTGTCGACGGCAAGTGCGTCGGCGAGGCTCTGGAATTTTAGATGTGCTTAATATGTAGAAGAGACGAAGCTTTGTTACCACACTTTATTACCTGCAGGATTCGGACTGTTCCGGTCCAGGATTGACATGGGATGTCAGTTCTGTTGGAGTATGCTGTTCAGCTCAGATAAGCGGGACTCCGGGATTAGCAGGGAACCCTCGCAAACGCGCGAGGGGCTCGATTACAAGGTATCCTACTTTATTCCTGCTACGTTAGTAGTAGGTCTTATAGAGGGATGGTGGTAGCCGAGTTTTGAGTTTAACCCGAAGTCCGATGTCATAGAATTTTCTATTTGTGGAAGAAATTCACGGCCCAGCGCTTCAAAATTTCCGTTTAAGTCAGAATTTCGGGGTGGCACAGTCACCACTTGTCACTGTTTACATGTGACCCTCTGTTACTATCACGCTTTCTGCGGCGTTGTTCGGCCGATCTTGCCAAGGATTCTGACTGAACTCTGAGAGAAAATGCGAGCTGGTGGCGGCAGAATGCCGCCACCGAGCGAGTCTTTTTCTCTCAGCAGCAGAAGCCACCACCACTGAGTGAATCATTTCAAGGGGTAGTACTCTCTCATTCATACTACTATTTTTTGAATGCTGACTATTATTGATTATGACTTTGAGTTTTTTCCGCAAGCCAAGATTTGAATAACCCTTGGGCCTTGATTCAATCTCTCCTGCAGGAATTATAGCCAGTAAACCTCGCAGGATCAATCAATTATACATAAGCTTGGTTTATTATAAACCATCATAATTATATAAAGAACAAGGCTTCAAGAGGGGTCAACGTAGCAGGCTTTGCCCCTGATGTGGGCCTTGCAGGCGTTATATACTAATGCTAAATTTAGAAAATATACTACGGAAAGGAGGGGTGGCCGTCGGAAGCGCGGCGCATTTGGTATTTCAACAAGTTCTTTCCTTTATACTTCACACTACGGCATATGATTCCCACCGAGAAAGCATTACGCATCGATAAAGCCAGGATAATGATAATTCGCAGTCTTTCCGAGACACCGATCCTTTATTTCTCGTCAAAGATAGACGAACTTACTCGCGGATGTCCACAATATAACCCGTTACCTTCAGCCAAGTCATCAGCGAAGGTAGAAACCCGACCGTAGATAGCGTCAAACAAGCTGATTTTCTTGATGAGTAATTTGATACCGATTTTACTTCGTCGGAAAGGGCGAAACGTCACGTGGGAGTGATGAGGTTTACTGAGCCGGAGAGAGTTCGAGGTGTAATTATCATTCAGAAAAATAAAGCTCACCAATCATCACGATGAAAAAAGGTATGCAGGGCACCTTACGCATGTAAGTCGATTGTTCTGGATGAGTCGTCCTAGCTCGGCTAAATACAAGACTTTGGCATTGTAAGTGCGTGTGAGAAGCTATACAAGTTGAGCTTAGTTCGCTAAGTGAGGTAGACGAAAGCATCTACTCACCAAGATGGGTAAGGGGAAAGGTTGGGATTACGAATTTCAAATAGTTGGCCCGGTCCACGACACGGGCCGGATACCGGTTCTTTCCTTTCCACTCACACCTGCGGTCCATCTGAGAAACATTACGCGTCGGTCAGTGAAGTCAGTAAAGTGATAACTCAACAGACTCTTACTAATTTACTGACTTTTGTCCTTCTGGTCAACGATAGACGAGCTGACTCCCCTTTCAGAATTCTTTCCATTAACCATGGCGCTGGCAGCTCGGCGACTGCAGCCAAGTCATCAGCGAATGAAGTGTCAAACCGTTCGGTCCTGATCTTTTCGATGATTCATTCGATTCTGTCCTCGCTGTCGAAACGGTGAATCGTCAATCCGGGATGACTAGGTAGGTCAGTGTTCTCGCGCAGTCATAAAGGATGATAATTTGAATCATTAGAGCCTACCAAATTTGAACAAAGCCATTGAATATCCATCGCTTCAGAATGCATAGATCCCCAGTTAGTCGAGAGTGGCAACATGACAAGTATCTCGCATTACGTGCAACACGGCGCACCTCAGACCCCAGTAACGAGCAGGACGTGAATAGTGTCTGAGATCAAGAATAAACCCTTCATATCGGAAATTCACGTTAGTCCTTTCAAGACTGTAGTCGGGATTTTGAGTATCCACCCGTTACGGGGAAACATCCGACATCGAGAGAGAAGATTATATTGACAAAAGGTCCGTTCCCAAGCGTCCACGAAGCGGTGAGATCCTCGTTTGCGCTCTTGGTTGCGTTAGTCCTATCTTCCTGCAGATGTAGGTCCGACGTGAGAAGCACACCCTTTGTGAGCTCACCAGAACATCCCGTCGCGCGGCCTCCCGTCTTTCCGAGGGACACGGAGAAAGAACGACCGGTGCGATGAACCGGCCGTAGACGATGTATCCCTACAGGGACTTTGGACTCTAATTTTCGTCGTGAGCTTGAGATCGAGAGACATTCTGTGAGGGTCATTTCTGCAGGACGAACAGGCGCCAGGATGGGGAACGAAAGAAGATAACGATGCCATTTTTATATGTGCCTGCTGGTACACCCTCTCTAAATGGAGATACTAGATTCCTAACATATTTCAGGCAATTCCTAATTCTCTCATGGCAACTGAGACGACTGGTGAGAAAAAAGAAACTGCAATTCATCCGTTCCCACCAAAGCTCACTATGGCTTTGATAGTTGCGATCCTCAAGGGCCTACGTGTACCAATGGCAGGCAAAACCTTGTGATTTGCGACTAAAAAGGGTGCATTATCGCTGCGGAAAGCGTTCTAGGTTCTTCTCACATCACAATGTCATCTCCCTCCGTCATATCATTTTCCGCAACGCGTTCGTGATTTGGTCCTTTTGTCGTACTACTTCTCTGCAAACGCAGTTGTCAGGGGTTAGCTTTTGGTCAGCAGGCGCTAGAGGCTGTAGTCCAAGTCACAAGGAAATACAGCGCTAACGCACATCGTAGCGGAGGAAGTGCTGGTGGGAATACTTACTAGGTGCCGCGTCAAGGAACAATACAGCAACAAGGCCCCGGTAGAAAAGAACCCCATTTCTACGGATTATTGGATGACCGCATCAGGTCTCTTCAGGGGTCCAGGCAATCACGCTCTTTGGAAGGGTGTGCTGACTAGCCGGGAGATTCCGCGCTCATCCTTCGTTTTCTCTACCTGAACGGTGGCCTAACTGTAGTTCACAGTCATCCTGAGATCATGGAACCGCAATAATTTATTCACTGAAGATGTCACCGGCCAGACAAGGTTAACGTCTTACGTGTCATGGGCGGCCTACAATGCAGAAAAGTCATTTGACAGCAAATCTGGCAGGCGAATCGTGCGTAATACTCATTTGTTCCCCCACATTGCACAACTCATTGGTTTTCATAGCCATTTTCGCATTGTTAGCTTGTTGTATTGTGACTTTTGGTTTTCCCAGCCGTCGCACCTCCCTTCACACCTAGACGACCGAAGGCCACTATAAGTGCATGATTATGAGTGGAGGTTACCTTACCTCGGCAGCTGGGTTGTACGTCACGTTGATTTCTTTTCCCGCCTAAGGAGTACTAATCTCGGCTTCGTAGCCAACATCGACTGCACAAGAAAGTAATTCTCCACGCCTGTCAAAGCGATTCACATTAAAGTCACGACTAAGTACGATAATCGCGCCACGCCCTTGGTACGGAAGAGTGTGCTACTTCCTTCTTATTGTCAACATCAATACTAGGTATGCGTGTCGCTCTTGATAGTATGGACATGAGTCATTCAAATTCCATCTCCGTAGATCCCAAGACATTCTGGGAAAATCACATTCATATTTCATGTAGTCGAACCTGCGAAAATCGTAGTTCGAGTTTGGCACGCACGGAGTCAAGGGATAATGTGCGCCTCCTCTCGTTCACTGACGTTCAAGCAACTAACATCCCTATTAGATTGCTCTCTTGCTTGGGCGACCACCAAATGATGGGAGGACTTGTTCTGTGACCCTCTATCTCTACCGACGACCAGCTGCTTTGACCCATCAGGGACTTGTACATTCCTTTGTTTTCTTCTATTGAATATGCGACACTTTTCCCGATAGACACGGTATCTATGTCTACTAGGGTGGATTCGTCTTTGCTCGAGGTCATCTCTGAATCTACGCGTCCGCCTGGCCGTAGAGCGTCCGGAGGACTCGAGATATTGAGTTCGAGTTTGAATCAACCTCGACCTGCGTAGACAGCGATCTGGAACCGAATAGCAATTGTATTCAGCTCCAATCAGTCCTTCCGCAGAGAGCGGAGCAGCTCTAAGCCAGCTTCGCGTTCCCATGGTTTGGCTACTCTCACGAATGAAGCGTCGCTGACTTTCTCTGTTGATGGTGCGTGATAGGGACGAGCAGGATTATAAGGTGTCGGAAAGTGCGAGATGATTCTGGCAATCCGGTTTTCCGGCATGTTGAGTAAGAAATTGGTAAGAAAATGATTGTACGGAAATTACTAGAATAGTCGTAGTTTAGTATAAATATAAGAAGTCAATGGGCAAAGTCTTCACGAGTTTGTAACCCAGAGACTAGAGGTCTTACAAGCAATGTACTAGATTACAGTCCGAAATACAACATAAGGGCGGAGGAAATACTGCTGTGAAGGTAAACTCGTCCTTCACCGAGCTGAAGCTAATCATCATGCTTTCAGATACATACTACCATGAGCGAGAGCAAGACGCATACTCTTGCTCTTTTATGATCAGGTGGGAGAAACGACTAGCAAACGGGAATTTAATCGGTCCTAACGAGGAATGAAGCATCCTTTTTTGTCTTCTTGCTGGCGTTTCCCACGCATTGATCAATCAAACACAGCACAATGGGAGGGAGGCGCTTATCCATGGGAAAGATCTACACGCATCAAATGGAGATACTCGTCCCTTCCTTCGCCATGATAAACCTTAGGATCTGGCTTGTAGGTGTTTCGGTGACAGCTTTTCGAGCTGCTGATGTTAATCGGAGTTGTAGGAGCGAAGACTTTCCCAGCATTAAATTGATGCGATACGAAGATATTGAGGTTGACGATGGTCAGGTGGTTGTCTGCCGCGTTAAAATTAACAGCACACAGTTATTCATTCTATGAATCAACGGCGAGTCAGAATATAGGAGGACGAGGGGAACAAAAATCTTCCCTCAAAATGCCATTCACTTCCTTCGATGCTGTGCAGCGACGGCTTTAAATAGAAGAACACCTGCATCGAGTCATGTTGTTAGCTTTACGGTACGATTCAGAGTACGTTCTACACAAACAACTCATGACCCGCATGCTTACTGGGAATCTCATTTAAGGTTTCGTCTCCCTGCAATCAAAGAGCGAAACTGTGAGAGCTGAGAGCATCGCTATCGAGCTTGTGTTTTGGAAATAGATCGTGTGCTTTATTTGAGTCAATAGGACTAGACGGCGTGTTGCCATTAATACGGTGCTGTTATCTTTGGGCGTCTATCTGTCAACAGCGCTGCTGATGGTGGCACCTATCATGGTCTAGCATTGTGTGTTTCTTCCTTTACAGCACCACCACAACCTCTCGGTGTACTCACAACTGTGTTCCAACCTACGTTGACTATAGACAGACTCTGTCTGCTAGGTGCGATTTCGTTGTGTTTGATGCTTCAGATACTCACTCTGCTATGAATGGAAAGGGAATCTGGAGAGCTTTTGAAGGGATCTTGAGAAGATCACGATTACAAAGACAACTTCATCTCCGAAAGCAGCATGAACTACTTGGTAAGCATTCAGAAATATCCCAGAGCGGCAAGTAATAACGCCTTTCAGACATATCGAATACCTCTGAAGATCACACTCTCCGCCTATACTGAGACGGGACAAAAAGAATCAACCATTCCAGTGTTGGCGCAACGATCCTACACTGGTAGACGGGTCATACCATCTACTTTGGCCAATACTCTGTGCATCTCACTCGGTGCTGGTAGAGTATCGGAGAAGCTGAACATGACACTCGGCACGTCATACACTCTAGACGGTTACCCCATCTCAAAATCATTTCTGGATTCCTGTATCAAACGAAATCACGATTTTGGGACTGCCTACGCTCATTCTCAGCGTTCGAATGACAAGGCCATCATCAGAGGTGACTTATGCAAGCGTGAAGTGAGGGACCGAAAGATGCGACAGGCAGTACTCTGTGATGGCAGGATCAGCAAGAAGGAAGTACCCCCTCGGCGCGTGTGGGATCTAGGTGCTAATCGGGTGGTGCCGTACTGGGTCGCTGCCAACCGCCCGTGGGGGATATCGCATGCATGGGTGGATGAGAAGGATCGCGAGGATGTGTGGACTCCTATCAATGGGTACCAGTGGCCCGTGCCGATGCCGAAGAACGCCGACCTTAATCTTATCCGCATCGAGATGTTGAACAAAGGAGCGCGGTATGCATGGTTGGATGTTCTGTGTCTGAGGCAGAAGTATGATGCTAGGCAGAATCACCTTGAGGAGGATCACCGCAGGGAGAATCTCCGCGTGGAGGAATGGAAGCTTGACGTGCCCACGATCGGGTATGTGTATGACCAAGTGCATGTGGTGTATTACCTCAGCGGACTGGGTCTGCCGCTGGATTTGACACCCGGGTACTTCGACAGTGATCGGTGTTGGTCCAATCGAGCCTGGACACTTCAAGAGATCGGCCGTCGCTGTAACGTGATCATTGCTGGTGATACCGGCGAGCACAACGTCTGGACTATGTTCCATGAACAACTGGAATGATTGCGGTTTATGCATTCAATGGGTGACATCATATTGCAGATGCAGAAACGGGTGTCGACAAATCCTATCGACAGAGTCGCAGGGTTGGTATACTGTCTCGATCTGCGGTATATCCCAATATATGATGCAGAACAATCAGGAGAGAGCGCATGGCTAAAGCTCGTGAACGCCATGAAGTTTTCGTCTCGGATGCAGTTGTTCTTCTGCTACCCTAAGCCCGGGAACGGAAGCAAATGTTGGCGACCATCATGGATGCAGGTAATGGATGCGACATTTCTAGGTGATCTTTACCCAGTCAGTCGAATCCATCGGACGGAGGAAACAGATGTTGACTGGTACAAGGGACACTGTATCGACTCTGGCCATGTGCGGGGATTGGCTGATACTTCAAACAAAGAACAGCGTCGACGAGGTGAGCTAGTGATTGCAGATCATACAGAGGTACTCCACACATTTAAAATCCTTGCTGACCACGAATACCCAATACCCGATGACTCGTACACTCTCCTACTTGCAGGCTACTCTAACATCATTCAGGAATTTTTTGCCAGTTTTTGGGTGGTCGGGCAGCAGAGGCAGGATGGGAAGTTTCAGAAAATTTCGGTGATTAGGATGGATGGCCATAATTGTGACAACGATATAAAGCTATGTAAACTTGGTATTTTGAAAGAAGACATTAGAATGATCCTGTGTTGACTGTATGGGTGAAATAGCATGTACATGGTAGACACAAGTGATATTTTTCCATACAAAAGTTACTTCCGAAATAGGCGGAGCGTATATGGCATCCCTAGCTCGCATAGGGATGTGCTGCGGTATAGGAAGAATTATGTATTTCATACACCGAGTCAAGATGGCATGTTCAGCTGCGATTGAACGAGAACATCAGGTGCCTATGCATTTTACCAAACACGAACCTGATTTAAATTTGCATCCAGGAGAATGCAGCTTTGTGGACTGTGATCGGCGGAACATATCCTAAACCGTGCCAAATTCTAAACAAAATACAAATCGATAATTATCTGCGGTTCGAACAGGTGGTGACCATCAGGAAATGAGTAACATCATCCGGCATTGTAGTAGGTGGAAGGTCCGCGTGGAAGACACCATAGCACGAGTTCTGTTACTATCCCCATCTAGACGAATGAATATTAATCAGAAAATACTCGAAATTGAGGCAAGGAGCCACGTGCATTTAAATCCCTTAGTAAGTTATCGGCTCGTTGTGCAAAACTACTGATATTATCACGTACGTCCGTGACCATCAGATATTACATTATCTTGTTCTTATCGTCTTCTGTATATCACGCAGCTCGTGAATAATCCCCTCGAGACACCTGGCCCTTACATCAAAAGATACCGACTAGCATGGCAACGACAAGGACAAGTACCGCTGAAAGTCTTCGTACAACGCTTGGATATCAGATATCTTCCCATTTCCGATTCTCGATTACTGATCTGCTGCATTCTTGGTAGTGATCGTATTCCCGATGCCTTCGAGGAACTCGTCGATATCCTTTGTGTTGGTAGATGCTGCCTGTGTAACATGAATTAGTTCCTCATCTCAACGCAGGGCCACTAGAACGTACATAGATGATCTGCAGCACAGTCAAAGCCAAAGCCGCGACGCCTTTGATATATGGGAACGGCCTCCGACGCTACTTATACTTCCTTCAGTACGAGCATCCTTGAATGGAGGATAGACTTGGATTTGCTCTTGGATTTCTTGAAAGAAAGCTGTTCAGGGGATGTTAGTAATCGAGGACTAAGCGCCAGACCTTTCACGGAAGCACTATGTTACCTCGTTTTTTGGAACGTGTTGATTCAGGTTGTGATATGTCGAGAAAGAGTCGAGTAACTTACTCGCTGTTATCATGCACAAATTTATTCCAGGGTTCTGTTAAGGAGGTCGAGTGAATAGAGGCTGTAAACTTAAAGCGGGACCCATGTAAATTATTATTGTTTCTGGAGGTGCACTGGAGGATTCTGGCAATGGACACGATACTTGGGTTTTTCGTGATACGGATTGTTTACCTGAGCGGTAGAGGTGACCTTATACGTTTAACAGCAGTGGTCCCTCTCACTCTGAGTCGCGTCGAGCTATGTGTGTCCGCTCAGCAGCTGGGCAGTCACTCACTAAGAGTCACGGTCACTGGGCCATACCTCGGTCGAATGGAAAGAGGCTGACGGACCAAAGACGGTATTCATGTTCTGGGCATTATGAAGCACCCATATCGTGGCTATCGAGGCTGTAGCTCCTGGAGTCATTTCGGCATTTTTTTTTCGAACAGCACGCACTGCGTAATTGTTCTGAAGCGACCTCGAGATTCAGGAAAAGCGTTAATGGGCGTAAGAAAAGCGAAATGCCAAATAAACACTTCACCGAAGAGTAGGATTCCCGAATACGATGCCAAAAATGTTCGAGCACCAGATCTGCCAGTCCGCAAGCCTCAGAGTAAGAAACAGGCTAAGTGAAGGAGGGAATATGTTTATCCTGCAATCTGAACTTACTAACTTATCCTTCTAGTCATATAGCCAGTCATTAGTACTAAGTTGTGTAGGAACATCCTTGGGACTAGAAATACCATGGTGCGCCACCCATCCTATAACTTGAATGACTATCGTTTTTCAATAACTGCGCATCTATGAAAAATCAGATGAGACAATTCACAACATTCGAGCGTACATTCTGAATTCGACACTGCTGACGGGACGAAGGACTGTTCTCGTCATTCAACAAATTTTAAGACGTTGAGCGTAGGTCCACCGCTAAGTAGTCGAGGAAGATGCGATATTAATAAGATAGAATTTCCACTCGATTTATGAGGAATAAGAGCGCACACAGAAGAATCGGTCTCGCAAGATTATAGCTCGACAAGGACCGGGAAGAGGATACAGCAGACACAGGATGACGGATAACGAGCGGCGTATGACAGGACGGGCCGAAGTCTTCATGCACGTGGCCGTATCAACATCGGTGTTTGCCGCGACATTCTTGTCTTATTACAGCCAGCTGCGTTCTTCGTAAAGCTTCATCCGTTCCTTATTTGATCCTTCATGTGGATATATCTTCCGAAGAGCGGTCTCGTGAACATTGCCGTGAGTATCTGTGCAACCTGCCAAGCTTCGACATCTGTTTTTGTTCATCAAAGTAGGTGTACTACTAGGAAAAGATGGATATCGACTCTTATAGCCTTCCGGTTTCTTCTCATAATGATTGTAGCCAGCTTCCAAATTTGAACTCAATTACCATCAATTCATTTTTATCGTTCTTTTTAGGTTCGTGATCTCCCGAGTGGGTATCAATCGCGGTTGTATTGAGCCTCTTTATGTTTGAGAGCGTGTCCCCTTACAAAATGACGACTGAGAGGGAGAACTGACTTTCACCGTGACATTAAGGATTACTTGGACTCGTCATCCGGAGTTCTGCTATTTTCTAGGTCCTAATTCTTTATTCAGCCCTAGAGGATGTATTATCTGAACCTTGTTTGCAGGTGCAAAACGACAGGCCTCTGCGATTTATCCAGCCCCAAATCTCAATCTTATCACTACTTCAGGATGCGACCAACGGCTCGGAGATTTATGGAACATGCTTTAACGGAGTACGTGTGAGTTGAACACCATATGACGAACTTGGAGAGCTGGAACACGTTGAGCTGTGGCAGTTGTTTTTTCCTGGTGTCAGCCCGAATATTTCGCACATTTTTGAACCGCACTATTGAGCCAGGCGGCTGTAAGCACGACCGTCCGATGACAGGCACAATAAGGAGACAGCAAAGTATCCTTCCACTAAAGGATTCGTCGATCTCAGACATCTGATAGCACGCACAATCAGTACGTCAAAATAGCACGTAATCGTGTCTGCACTAAACTTCGTCACAGCAGGTAGACGGCACGGTCAATCGGGGGATGCTACGTTTCAACGAATTCCTCGGACTTGCAGTCAAAACGTCAAATGGCGTACTGAACCATCCAAATTTGGTACCGTCTTGCATGCGCTGATAGCTTATCAAGCTGACTTTTCTTCAGATTATGGGACAGGATGAATGTACCCTACTGCCATGGATGATTCCCGTGACTGTTTTCGCTTCCCCGGCATGCCCATTAACGGGTTTATAAATTCCCCGCTCGTCCAACGTAGCACCTCGTTCTCTTCCACCATGCTGACAGTACTTCATTGCCTTGAAGTTGGCACCATCGCCGTGATCCTCCGTATGTTTCCCTCTGTCATATAATCAAATTACTAAAACTCTTCAGCATTCTATGTCCTCGGTCGACTGGCAGCCTCTTTTTTCAGCTTTGAGCGACACAAAACATGGCGCGCCGTCTGTACGCATGCGTTATTCCGACTGATTGCGGGCCATGCTACGTTCGTCAGGCTGATATTGGGACCTACTTCGGAGACGTACGTCAAATGGACGAAGAACATCGGGGTACTTCCTACGATTGAGCCACTACCCGATGGTGCTGAGCTCTTGTGGATCGGTCATAAGAGGGTGGATAAAGTCATACTGTACGCGCATGGTATGCCTTTCTCATCTGTAACAATCGCTATGGCTAACAATAGCTAAAGGAGGAGCATATTTATTCGGGTGTGGTCCTTCATTTATGCAATTCTTCCGACACCTCCAACTCGAACTGGAGAAACGCAACGTCCACACTGGTATTGTATTGCTTGCTTACCGTGAGTCCTGCGCTGCTTCTCAGTTGCACTGCTAATAATGTCATCTTAGGACTAGTCCCAGGCGCTGTATACCCCAGCCAACTCATTGACGCCAAACAAGCACTCGAGCACCTCTTTAAAGCCGGAATCCAACCTCAGTACACAGGCTTATCGCGTATGGGGAAACACCGTGTTGCGTGATGCAGACGCACTGTTCGTCGATCCCGTTGGGTTCGGAGCACCAAAGGATTGGTTTAATGGGATAGGCAGCCTGGTCGGAAAGGTCCTTATTACGTCCGGAGCGAAGGAGTGTATGCATACAGCTCACGGAGTATTGGTGGATGGTTACCTGAAGACGATCCATCCAGATGTGAAATTTGCTGTCACGGAGGGCGCGAGGGGCGTGCATGATGATATGTTATTCGAGTATGTAATACCGGGAGAGAAGAGGGAAAATCTGAGTCCGACGACTGGGGTTATTGTCGATTGGTGGTGTGCGGAATTGTTTGGAGAGCATAGTGATTAAATTGGTACGAAAACTAATTCATTTTATCCAACTTGATGTAATAGCAAATACAGCCCTCCAGAGATATAGTTAATGCGAACTGGCATCATTCCATGGAGTTGAGAGCAGCAACAGAGTACAAGAAGGTGGCTTTATTTCAATGTTCCACGCTCTTGAAGATATCCGCACTCCCGAATTTATTCTTGGGACAATTAATTTCGCTATAGCGCGTTACAGTGGTATTCCAGTCGAACGCGGTAGGAGAGATTGTCCAGAATAAAAGGTAAATACGTAGGTAGGTAGGATTACATGGCACTGTCCATCGGGGGACGCCGAGCGTACTATGACACGCCCGCCTTGGTCTCTTGTTAAACTGAATGCGATAACGAGCTTTCCGTCGTTGCAGACCGTGCATCAATCAACCTTGGTTGACGCTTTGGTAATTATATCACGGAAGAGGAGCAGCATTCTCGTTCGAGGGTTGAGGTGGATACGAGCGGCATCCAGGTAATGGTTCTGATGCGCTATTCACTTGTTGCAGCCGAAAACACCCATAGAAAGACAAAAACGAAAGGTATGATTCGTAGCCTGGGTGCATAAGAATATCGATGGGTGTAAAGTCGTCAGGTTGGTTCTCTTCAGCAGCGTCAACGAAGGCATCATCCCTATGTTACTTGCGTATAAGTAGCAATTCCTTGAAGAGACGTACTGAAGACCATCATGGATCTGGCGTATTACGGCGGAGTAATGACACGAGAGACGAAAGTCGCGTAAGGAGCGCAGGAGAAAAGCTCAGCATCGAGAAGATGATGCTAGCAACGTGTCGGAGATAATCGTATCGCGGACGAACGGCAGGTGGATCCCATCAAGAAATGGTCTCGTTTTCGGGGGGGATGAAACAGGGAAAGGTTCAGAGCATTGACGAGAACAAGCACTGTTGCAGAACGTCAGTTTGTGGAATTGAGAAAATGGATTAACGCACCATGAATATACCCAACGATAAGGATCTAGCGCATTGGTCAGTTAGCGGACGCGAATACACCCGATCGATGCGTAATCAAATGCACTCGATTAATCATGAACCCGCCCTAATCGTACCTTCTGTACAAATACTCCACCCATTTAACGTCGGATATGACTTGACGGCTGAGAGTGTCACATCTCGAGGTTCGACTCCTCGTATCCGATTATAGCCCAGATCCGTCTCCTTTTGATACTGGTCCCGAAGCGGAAACATTCGACCCTCTTCCCTTCAATATCAAAGTGAGAAGCCATCGGACCAAGGCGGCAGGGCAATGACGCGGAAGTGGCGGTAGTCATCTACTTCGACGACGACGCTACCAATTCTGCTCTGCCAAAGCAGGAGCCTCAATGTAAGAAACGGGCGTCAGTCCAAGAGCGGGAAAACATACCTTTCTTACCGGAGCAAGGAACGACTGCCCGACAAAAAAGCACAATGATGCTAGAAGTACCATCCCCGTACAGCGAGCGCCGAGGGAACGACGTCCATTCCTCTGCAAGACTGAACGTTAGCCCTCGTAGCGTGCATTGTTCTGAATCCGTTCGCCAAGGTTTTGATTATCCTTCGCGATAGGGAGGGAAAGGGCGCTTCACTCCGGCTGAGTAGCATCAGGCATATACGTAGCAAAGATTTGGCGACATATGTATCAATAGGAGATGAATGTTACAGAAGCGGACGAATGAAGGTCTTCTTCCTCTGGCAACGCCAAGGGGAAACGTGCTCGTGAGTGATCCGTTTCCTTCAACTTGGCATAAGCATCAAAAAAGAGAGACGAAACTAGCACACGTACGATGACGCTTCCGATATCCAAATCCTCCTGGCCATGGTTCATGACTACTGCATAAGAAGGTCTATCCACAGCAGGATGCGCACGTCTGCTTGACGCATCCACGCTCTTCCTCGGATTTTCACCGTCTGAATTCACGCTATTCTACCGCTCGCAGAAGTACGACACGTGTAAAGCGATGTCTTCGTAAATTTGATGGCGGGTTTCGAGGTCTGTGCGTTGAAAAAGGCAAATACGAGCGCGAATATACGTGACAAGATCCTGGACAGGGAAGGCAGACACCTGACTATCTAGTCAGTTAGGAAAAGCTCGCTGGGGTAGGGAGGAATGTACCTGAATCATCTTGTCCGTAGTGGTAAACAGTCGCCTCCAATCTTCGGGAATTGGACCCAGTTCGCGTTTGTCGAGGAAAGGCATTGCTATTCTGAGCAGTAGAGGCGACTGGATGGAATTGGATCAATTCAGCCCCATTTGCCGGGATGCTCCTCAGCTACATATCCGCATATATCGGGACAGGACGCGATAAGAGAGCCGTCGATGTTTGTAGCTGGTGCTGCTCGCGAGCTAGGTCAAACACATAGGTGACTGTCCCGAGCTCTTCGCGCGTCTCAGAGTCGCTGGCCTGGTTGGACAAGAAGTTACAGCTCCGATGCAGACACGTATAGAGCTGGACGCGTTGAGGGAGGGATGGGGAGGGCGGTAGAGAGAAAAGAAGGCCGAAATTGAAATTCACTGGATCGGCAATCAACGTATCGCTCTCAACCCGGCCCTAAACAACACCACACGCTCAACACAACCAAAAGGTATGCTAATGACATGTTCCTCGTTCCGTCCAAGATTGAGACCGAAATCAATGGATTTGATGCCGCGTGATGCCAGCATACGAAACTAAGCGTACGTGGATTGGACGGTCTCGCTGATTGGGGAAATACGCTCGCTGGTAGTACCTACAAAGTGCATGGGATTATGCAATTCAAATGTGTTAACCACCGTTTCTCCCTGTCACGATGTCTGCTCCAGAAAAACAAAATATTATATCATTCTGCTGTGGAACTGCAATACCATTTTCCGGACTCGAACCGGAGCCTCCCGCCGTAGCTTACGACTAATCTATGATGGCATATACACTGCTTAATTCTTAGCATAGAGAACATATTCAGAATGTCAATACCATGAAAGTACCAAAACGAAGGAACTAGCTAAATTTCCGGATACCAGTTCAAACTTGATAGATACAAAAATCGCTTATCAGGCGTACACAGGTAACTCAAAAACCATATTCGTTGCACTATTTATTGCCAGAAGAAGGATTCGAACCTTCTAGTACCTGCTCTCGGATGTAACCCTTCATCCAAGCCATTGACACATCCAGATCATCCGACCGTCTCCACATCCCTCCAACAAATAGCCAGCGCCGAGTGTACACTATAGAATCCTTAGTCGCATTAAGATTACGACGCAACTTTTATCCTACAAGTTCAAACAGTCGCCACTCCCCGAGAACTACAATCGTCGTTGCCCGGTCACGAAAGACTCGGACGCTGTGAGGTGGTCGCAGTGGTAGAGAGATAAATCAGCAAATAACACGTTCAAAGAAAGAAAGAACGGACCGGACCGGTGTATACGATGAAGGTAAGATACGACAAGCATGGAGACTCTTGTTAAATTTACTCATTCAAACCAATTCTCTGTCTGAGCGACGCTTATCGGATTCGAATGTCTACTTACTGTGAAAATTAGTAAGAAAACAGGCAGGCTGAGACGTTTATCGTTTTAAATTGTGCATCTTCACTCTGGAGATATGCCCTTCACGACGATCACGTTCAAAATCAAAGGTCTTCGCATACGAGCCCGTCCATTGATTCCTCCATTCCATGAATTCCTGGATTCCCTGTCTATCACCTCCGAATCCAGTTCGTGACTTCACCAAGCATCATCAAAGGGAATTTTGACAGAGGAATTCATTTCGGATCAACGTCCAGGATTTCTATCAATGGATTCAGCACAAGTGCGACGTCTATGATAGCCTCCCTCCAAAACAGAATCATGTCGTCTATCGTTCAGCATCAGAATGCCATATTCGGAACACGAACCGGGTCTTTAATATTAGGATAAGAGTGCCGAGCCGAAGGGTCAGCGAATTTCCTGATACCAGTCAAATGAAAATGAAAATTTCCAGGCCTACATAAGTAGGTCAAAAAACCATTCTCTTCGTATTACCATTGCCAGAAGACGGATTCGAACCGCCTAGTACCTCCTCACGGATTTTACCCTTCATCCAAGTCTGATTCACTGTACTTACACTGGTCTCCGCTCTGTCCAGATCGACATTTCCAAGAAAACGACTCGGAATCTGGGAACAGCACGGATCTCGTGAACCGAAGATAAAAATTCATTGCTCTGACCGAAGATTATGCATTAATTGCCAATGGGCGGATTCGAACTATCCCGTTGGTAGAAACTAGCATCGCTACACAGGAGAGGGCGGGCTCATAATGTGAAGCGATAATGTTGGAGAACGCAGGCATCTGCACGAGCATCTAGTTCCTTCCTACGCACGTAGAAGTAGTATCTGGTGGTAGCCATAACGGTGATTAGAAAGGAAAAGAAATATCCTCGACCTGCTTTGGACGACGATCTAATCAGTTTACGGGAGCTATCCCACAGACAAAAAGACACACCTGAATCATTTCCTGGTACGGCTCTCCGATCTTGTACCGGTATCGTCTCCTTTGTCTTTAGAAAAGGCGATTTCTTCTTTCTAAGCAGTTCAGGCGGGACTGGATGTGCTCATCCATCACGGCGTTACGTCCTCGCTTTTCCATCCTGAGCATGTCGATATCTGACGTAGAAGATGTTCTGTACAATGCTGTTCGTTCATCCAACGTCGGATATGGCACAGAGGCTAACATCGCAAAATCGTTGCATTTCGAGGTTCGATTCCTCGTATCCAACCTATTGTCAGTGCATTGAGCTTTTGATGGTGTTCACGAGGCGGAAACATGGTGAGGCTAGGGTGCAGTTCAACGATCTTTACATCCTCCCTTCAAAGTCTAGCTGATATCGATGAAGCACAGTTCTGAGAGACCAAAGA